GTAATGTCCGGATCACTGGACAGTCCGAACCGGTCCAGGCACTGGTCCGGAAGACAGTCCGGAAGTGTCCGGTGTCCGGGTCCGGGGTTACCATGACCCAGACCGAGTACACCAGTGGTTAACGGTGTAAACTGTCTTCATTGCTGAAATCAGTTTTTTTTGCCAAAGTTGAAAATTTTCATTTTTTTCAAATTTTTGTGATTTTTTTTTTTTTTTTGACTGTTGGAATTGAGTCTGGTGACCATTTCTCAATGTTCTGAAGTGTTTTTGAACTTTTTGTCCATTGGAACTGTCTGTTGTGACCGTTTCCAAAAAACGCTGAAAATTCTGAAAATTCTCTGAAAGGAAAATTTCTTTCAAGTGCACTTTTGCCTTACCGTTTCACCCTGTTTTTATTTTTTTTTCGTTTTTTGGAATGGTTTTCACCTTTCTGCAGTCACAGATGTGGGCCCTAGAGTTCGATCCCCAGACCTCACTTTGCCCATGTACAGTATCGAGTCGACACCCGAGTGTTTGAACCCGTGACCTGTGTTTTGGTAGTTGTTTGTCGCCTGTCGTAGGTCTGTGTAGTGGTAGGGGTTCGATCTGTAGGTCTGTCGATTAGGAGTTACAGCTTTGTAGAGGTCGTAGCTGTAGGTATTCTGAAAGGTGTAATGACCCGCCAAAAACACAGACTGAGAACACTGCCGATTTCTGGGATTTGTCACTGGAATGGATGCCTTGTTGTGATTCCCGCATTCTGCTGTGGTTCCAAGTCTGTGTGTGTGCGTGCCTGCTGGTTGCATGCCTGTCTGAGTGCTTGCTGGTTGTGTGTGTGTGCGTGCATGCCTGTCTGAGTGCTTGCCGGTGGGGTATGTGTGTGTTTGACCCGCAAGGGTACTTGTTGATTGCAAGGCCCACCGGGCGGGTACTTACCTGTGGCCGTGACTCTGGAGGGTTGCAGGGGGGTAAAACATGCCGGTAGCGGGAGATAGGCCCACGGCACTTAGAGCAGCTGGGGAAAACACTCAAGAAGCAGGTAGGCCGAGCAGAAGAAGACAAAAAGTTGGCATTTTTAGAGGTCCAGTAGCGGTAGGTTGGGGGTAGGCCAGTACCAGTCCAAGTAGCCCAGGTCTAGGGCCTGTGCGGACAATAACAGAGCGTGCAATGATGTTTCCCTCCAAAAGGGAGGAGGTACCGGTTGCCTGGGAGGCCGCTTGGCCTGGAAAGTCACCGCCCAGGAGGCCGGTAGGCCACTATATCTCCAGGAAGAGCGGAAGGCTCTTCCTCATTTGCGGTATGCAAGGATTGGCGACATGCTGCTGGAGCGCAGCGCTGGTCTGAGGCAGCGCTGCTTGGAGGTGAAGGTCTGCTGGGGCTCAGCCTGGCTATGGCGAGCACCCCAGCTTGAAGGAGGAAGAAGGGGGACATGGTAGGAGAGTGGTAGGGCACTTACCTGGCTATGGTGGACACCGTCTTCATCACCTTGTTGGGCGCTGCATCTGGAAGGCCCCAGTTGGGGTAACCCTGCACCAGGGCAGCTCGAGGCAGAGTCAGGCATAGCGGACCAAGTCAAGCAGCGACATAGCTGCTTTGAGTTGTCTTTCGGGCATCAGGGCAGCTTCATAGCTGCCTTCCAGTAGTCCGCCATGGCCTATGCTTGAGAGAAGAGGTTGAAGGAGGGAAGACATAGCCAGGGTGGACTTGTTGTTGTTGTTGTTGTTGTTGTGAGTTGAGTCAGCAGTAAGGGGGAACTTCGGACATTGATTCTGGTTCATCCATTCATTGTTATTATTATTATTGAGAGAAGAATAAGATTGGTGAAGAGAAGGAGTAAGGAGGAAGGTGGAGAGAGAAGGGGGAATTGTCATTGGTCTTGCTGGTGTACTTCTTCTTCTTCTTCTTCTTCTTCTTCTTCTTCTTCTTCTTTACCTCTCCTCTGGTCTTTATCTCTTTGCAAGTGCTTTCATTTCTTTCGCAATTGGGTGGCATTGTCTTTCATTGTGAATTTGCACTTGGGAAATGACCAGGATCGTAACAAAGGTCAAGGTCGTAGCTGCTACAGTCCTGAAAGGTCAAGGTTGTAGCTGCTACAGTACCCGAAAGGCCAAGTCCACAGACTTCCGGAAAGTCTGGAAGTGGACTTTCGAAGTGTCTCACGTTTAGTCAGAGGCAAGTGGGCAAGTGGTGAGCCCAACTGCGTTACGTCGGCAGTGCGACTGCATCGAGTTGGCAGTGCAAACCCATGCAGTCAGCGGTACCGGTCCCAGTCAGTCAGAGTCCAGTCGAACAAGTACTGTGTGGGACTGTGTGCACCAAGGGCCTGGGAAAGGGGCAGACCAACGAATTACAGAAGTATAATTCGAGAGGCAGCGCCCAGCCATTCATTCATTCGCTGCGTAAGCCATGCGGAAGTGCTGATACAGCATCTTGTGCGTAGGCGGTCTGCAGGTTGCCCGAAGACGAAGTGGGCTGAAGAGCGAGATCGTAGCCATAGCGGTACAGGTGAGCGGCCATAGCCGCCGAAGGTAGAGGTAGCTGATAGCGTGTGCGTGTGTGACTCTTCAAGTGAGGGTGTGTGGGTGTATTCAGGGTGATCCAGAGTTGAGGAGAGTTGAGGGCGTGCGAACAGTGGTGTTGGACAAGGCGACGAGAGTTGGGATGTCCAGGCGCTGTTGCGCCATAGCCTATTGAAGTGAACTTGCATCTGAACTGTGTTCTTGTTGTCCATATCTCTGAGCTCTGAGTGGGCGCCCCTGCGCCAGTGTGAATCGTCACCTGTTTGCATGTATGTGAAGTGGAAGTGAAAGCGAGTCTGATTGCATTTTTCTTTTGTGGTTTGTTAATATGGTGTGCACTGTATGGAATGATGCAATTTTGGGTTAAAAAGGCCTTCCGATTTTCTTATAAATAGCATTCAGAAAACGTTGAAAACTTCGGTCTCCGTTAACACTCACTTCTTGGGCGACCCACTGCTGGAGCAGTGCAACAGCGCTATGCTAGAGGTAGATGTGTAGGTAGGGAGCGAGGCGGAGGCCATATCTGCGTCGGCGGAGATCTTACCTGGGCGCCATAGCTGGTCTTTGCGCCAGCGCCCTGCAGCACAGAGGAGACACGCGGCGACAGTTGGTACATGGTGGCAGTTACCTGCAGGTGAGATAGCAAGGAGGACAACATCTTCTTCTTCTTGCTCTCACTCTCCATCCCTCCTCCTCCCTCCTTCCCTCTCCTTCTTCTTCTTCTTCTTTTTCAGAGAGAGAGAGAGAGAGAGAGAGGTTACAGGCAGAGGTTACATCAAGGCATGAAGCCCAGGGTCTGATTCGACATTTTGTGGCAGACATTGATCGGGCATTCGGCAGGGAGACTAGTTTTGGACTTCACTATCACTATCTAGGTCTTCTCCCTCACCTCCATCTTCATCTCGCCTCTCCCCCATCTCATCATCCGTGGTATCTCCCGATTCTCCCCCCATGCACATGTTCAAGGAGGGACCTTTCTTCCATGTATGCGGTCCCTCTTCCCTCTCTCACATGTGTGGTGCATGATGTGGTGTCGCGTCAGTCTCTGACAGGTCAGGTCATATATTTGATTCTTCCGCTGCACTACATTGTGCTTTTTCCATATGTATCTGGATGTACATTGCTTGTTGATGCTTTGCTGATACTGCATTGTCCATTCGAGTCCTTTTCATCACTTTGTGGATCCTTGGCTCCATATACATCGCTCAACAGAGCATGTATCAGCTGCACTCACAAACAACTGCGAGTGATATAGTGGAGGAACCACAGTTCTGCTGCTGCTAGTGGGCGTCATTGTAGATACGTATTCTGCTATCCGTCAAGCACCAAGGCACGGGGTCCTTAAAGATTCCCTATGCTGATGGAGGTCTGTCACACTCTGTTTTCTGTTTTCTCTCCTTAAAACATACACTCCCCATTCCTCCTCCTAGTCAGCACTTGCTGTGCTGCTATTCTAGAGTGTGAACTGTGCTATGGCCCTACTTTACAAAATACTTCCCTGTGAAAGGATTAATTATAATTTAATAGTATACATAGTAGTATGATAGGACATACCTTACAACACTGGTGCCTTCCACCTGGCCTTCTTCCTTGCATTGTTCTTACCTTTCCAGTTATTGGTTTATTTAAGTTTTTGTCCATCGGGGGTGGTATTGTTCAATTTTTGGCTCTTTCCTCCTGTACTTTGACTGCGTTTCCTTTTCTGTGGTGGTTGGTTTTCCTCTCTTGTTGGACCCTCAGGTATGGGGTGATTGCTGACCCGGAAATGAATGAATGGTACAATATTTCCTCCGAGGATGCATTTCTTGTGATCGCATCTGATGGCGTCTTTGAGCACTTGAACAGCCAGGACGCTTGTAATATCATCTGCGCAGTTCGTCGTGGGCTTGGGTGGAAAGCCGTTGTAGATGAAGCAGTGAGTGTTTCACCCACTCCGATCGCCCTCTCGGGTCAGAGCTCAACATCTAACAACTCCTTGAATCCCTCTGAAGGCAGTCGGGATGATAGCGTAAAGATTGAGGCCACGATCGAACATTCTGGCGATGTCGAAGCAGGGCATGCCGATGCAATAGCCTGCCGGTCGACAGAGAACCCCGGGCGATCGTGCACTTCAGAGTTATCGAATGGCAAATCTTCGCTTGCTGTAGGCAGGGCGTCATTGCGATCTGGAGATGTAGATGGGGACTCAGTTGTTCCAAAGAGTTCTCTGTCCCTCGGAACAAATCCTAGATATAAGACTGACAACAAACTACGTGATGGAGCAATCGTTGAAACAGCAACTCGAAGCTCAAATGGGCCGTGTTGTCAGCAGCCCTGTGCGCGATTGTCAAATTGGAATCGCTGTTGTTCATCGTGCAAACCACAGACTCATGGGACAAAGCCAGTGGCTCTTTGCCGTACACTTAGCTCATATCAGGTGGCAGAGGATGCAACGCCGTGCAACAGGGCGGCAATACATCGGACGAACAATGACAGGACACAGTGCTGTGAGATAGCAGAGCATGGGACGAAGCCGGTGACTCCTTGGCATACATTTAGCTCGTATCAGGTGGCAGAGGACGCAACACCGTGCAATGGGGGGGCAAAACATCGGAAGAATGATGAGGGGACACAGTGCTTTGAGATGATGGAGCAGCCTGGCGGCAGGAGCAGACCCAATATGGAAACGGCTTGGACGTTCCGTGATCTTGGTGAGGATACCACTGGAGCACTGACGATGGACATGTCAAGAGGAGGAATGGGAGAGGTAGTGATGGATGCACAGGTGCTTGATTTAGGTCCAGAATCAGATGCAATTCCCAAAGAGACAGCTAATGGGGGATTTGTGGGTGACCTTTTCCCTGTTGTGTTTGATGGGGGTACTCGCAAGGATGACCAGGTCCATGACATGAACATTATGCGTCATATGAGTTCTTGCAGCGGTGATCATCGCAGGGATTTTGGTCACGGGCACACAGGTTATCATGAAAAAGAATTTCCTTCGGCAGAAAGATGGAAACAGGCGTCCGGGACGCCCGGGAACGATGCCAGGGGGATGAGGAAAGAATCAACACACAACTGGCGTACTGCGCCCAGCGGTGGAGCTCTGATGAGTACTGGATTAACATGGAAGTCACAAGGGGTTAGCAAAGAGGAGGAAGAGCAGGACGGCAGTCGCAAAGGGGAAGTCCTACAGCGCATTGTTGACTCTTTGGTTGTTGCGGCTTACGAGAGCGGGAGCATGGATAACATAGCTGCCATTGTGGTGAATCTCACAGCACTGAAGGAAATGCATGATGAACGAGATGGATCGGAGGGAAGTAGGCTGCTTGGCGCAAAAGCTCTCTCAGAGAATCCGGACGCCGTGCTGACGTGGAGATCCTTGAAAGGCGGTGTGGCAACGTATGGCAGGAGCTGCGCGAAGTTTATCCGTCCATCTAGTCTGGACAGTGAAGTTAGCAAGGGGCGGGAGAAGACGAGGGATGATGGTCAGGTTGGCTCTAACAATCTACCAAGAGAAAAATCATGGGGTGTGGTTGCTGAGGTTAACAACCACTTAACTGAAGCCCTTACTGTGGCAGGAGGCGGAAAAATGAGTCGTGAGGAGTATGCTGCAGAGAAGGAGCATCAACAACTAAAAGGTGTTGGGCCCAAAGGAGGCAGAGATGGTCCTGTCAAGGCAGTACAGGAGCATGGAGTTGTGAAGAGTACAGCAGAAGCCATTGTGCCAGGGACTCTGGTGAGTGTGTCCTTAACCTTGAAGGAAAAAAAGACGGGTGAACAGGGAGGAGTTAAAATAAAGTGCTGATAAAGGAAATTTGAGGACGAATTCTTGAAGTTGAACCACTACTGTTCTGAGTGTTCTAGGCTTCACCTATTATCAGAGATCATTGGTCCCACGGAGGAGGCAAAAAGAAGCTGAATTTCCTATGTTACCTGATTGGACGTCCGGGACCCCGCTGACCGTCCAGGTTGTCCAATTGGACAACTCGGCCAAACGTCTGCCCGAGCCCATGTGTCCAACCCTCCTACACTTGACCTTTTTCTTTACTTTTTCTTTGTTTTGAAAACTTTTCCGCGGGTTCTCCGTCATAGGTGTATGCAAAAGTTAATGCAAAACTCTATGGGTTTCTTTTTCCTTTTCCTTTTCCCATCTTTATTTCTTTACTTTCTGATTTTTTATTTTTTTTCCCCAAAAAAGGGCGACGGCCTTGAGATATCATCATTGAGCTGACCGGTGCCGGGCAATTCAGAAATATTTCGTTTTACTGATCAAGTACCATCATCTGGATTTGAACTCGGGTCTGTATTTCAACAGTTCATTGGTGTACCCACTGAGCTCGGCTCTTGGGTTCCTTTCCCATCTTCACTTCTTTACTATCTGTAAGTTTGATGACTAGCATCTTTTTTTAGTAATATATATATACAAGTGGACCCCGCCACGGCTACGCTGTGGCGCACAGCAACACTCTCTGATGGCGACAGTTTGCTCATTCTATCGACGCAAGTAGCGCGCGGCGAGGCGCTGGGTTGGAGACTTATCGGCTCTCTCTCTCTCTCTCTCTCTCTCTCTCTCTCTCTCTCTCTCTCTCTCTCTCTCTCTCTCTCTCTCT